GATTCTATACAATTGCACCTTTGACTGGAACACTTGTGTGGTATTCAAGTCAAAGGTGCAACTGTGTATAGTATGTAGAATTGTAGATTAATGTCACACATAATACTATACTGGTACTAATGCATAGTTAGTTGAAACTCGAGTAACGGATCCCCATTATTAGTATTTATCCTGTCAGTGAGCTATGCAAGAACAAGAATGATGCTGAACAAACCTTCTAAGATTTCCAATTATACAGACGAGTAATACTATATATTTAAGTAAACTAATAATGAGGGACGATGACAGCACGCTAAGGAAGGTGACACCCAATATAAAGTAGAATTCAATACAGAGATTTACAGTTTTAAGTAAAGACACATTATTATTTATTACCAGTTGATGTCCGCGACTTTGTTCTCGTTTGTTATTTCTGGTTAGTATGTATCGATGTATGTACCTACCTATATATTATGGTTGGGAATACTGGACCAAAATTAACAAATGATATATCGTCCTCACTCTTTGCCTTAGGTATGACTTTACTTAAGTAGGTTGTGTACTGTGTATAGTAGCTGTATAAGTTACTATAGTTTTTTTAACTATCACACGGTAAATCTTTGATTCTACGTTATTGAAAGTATTCAAAATGTTGACCGGGGATGTAAGGTACCACCATGCAAAATTTCATTTAAATCGGTCCAAGAGTTTCGGAGATTAACCCGTACAAACAGATAGAGAAACAAAAAAGTTGAAAAAATTTGGATTTTTTTTATACAACTTAGAATGGCAAACAAGCTGACAGCTCACCTGATGGAAAGTGGTAACCGTCGTCTATAGACATAGGTAGTAACATGGACATTACAGAGTATATTGTTTCGCCCATATTATCCCCCATGCGTTGCCATTCCTAAGGACTCAGGTGTTATTCCTCTGTACCCTGTAAATTCACGCCATATCCCACCCTTCAAACAATAACACAGCCATGCAAACATAATTGCTTCACGATTGAAACACGAATGGGATAGAGGTACCCATGCAAACGACTTTTGTACAAAGTCTTCCTCTGGTCTATTTCACTTCTCACATCCCCCTGAATCGTTTTTTAGCGTTTTTTTTTTCTATGTACAGGCATTCAACCTCTATAGTTTTATCATATTTATAGATTATATCAGGCGTTATCTGTCCACTGCTGAACATGGGGAGGTCTATATTTAGCGGTGAATAGATATAGGCTGAAATGACGATGAATGTGTGAATACATTATCAAACATTATTCTCCTTACTAATATTATAAAATGTAAAAATGAGTTTCAATAAATTAATAAAAACTCTTTTATGTTCCCTTCAAAGAATGATGATGAAATGTACGACTATATGTAAAATAGTACATTAAAAAACAATATGTACACAAACAAAATGAAAACTTTATTAGATAAACTTCACTACATAAAAGTAGGATAAAGAGGCAACCTTAAGAATGCTTGTCTGTTAACTTTTACCTTACTTACTTAGCACCTTAAAGGCTTGACTAGAAACTATGAAATTTGGTATACATGCACTATATGAGATAAAGAAGGACATAGGCTTCTGTTCATTCTGGTCAATGAACATATCTCCATCATAGGGATGATACTATAGAAATAATACGAATAAAATACGAACTCGCAGCTCAAAGTTTGTTTATTAGGAAGTCTTGTCTATTATATTTATAGAGTTATTGAAAGTCATACATATTATAGCGAATATTTGCAGATTTCACGCTCCAAGAAATTCCTCGGTAACAAGCTCATACAGACATTATAGAGTTGTCACAGACTGGGACTACAATTTAGAATAACATATTTAAACGTCGTTAGATAAAACATATAATTTCCTGCTATTATATCGTAATCTAGCATACATTTCTCTGCATTGATACTTATTGAACTTGGAAAATTTGTTCTTTTCGATTACGAATTAATCTTTGAGCTTTAAAATCTTTTCTTTTCATTATTTTTATTATTGTCTTAACAATCATCATCTTTTACTATCTCTTTCTCCCTGTAAAGGTTAAAGTTCTCAATCTAATATATTTGTTACAAGAAGTTGAGTAACAGGGTATACGAGTAAGTAATAATCAACAACCTAGTTTTATTGTTTTAATTGAATAATGAAATCAAGGGGAGTAAGAAGTTACTCATCTGTGAAGACAAAGTTGGCTCATATCTAGTGTATTCTACGTTGAGTTCTTACTTGATTTATCTAATACAGAGTATCCTAGTTTGGGAATTAGTTAATTGCTGGGTTTTTGTTTTAGTACTAAATACAGAATATTATTTTTTAAATAAAAATTGTATATTGTTCGTTATTAAATACATTATTTGAGATGAGTTTATATTTATAAATTACATACACGGTTAGATTGATTGAATAAAATTTTATTTCAATAATCCACAATAGTTACACTACATTATAATTACAATATTGAGTTACATACATTCATAATATTAAGTTTTTCATGCATTGACGGTTTTAGTGATTTAATATTTTTAGAAAATATCTATTGTGAATGACATATAGTAGGATTTTGAACTAAATAATATACTTCTATAATAATAAATATCATACACTTGACAGCTGACATGGATCTCGAGAATTTAACGCCTGCAGAGAAAACTATGTTCTTTCTAAGTTTCTAGTAATAATTACTGTAGATGTCAGAAATTTTGATAAGCAATTTTGTTATATATTCGAATGAAATTAAGGTCGAATTTTCCAAGTTTATATCTCATCGATGGTATTGCTGTCAAATAAAAGTCAATTATGTCATTACTTTGACGGGTCCGGTGCTGGAGTGTTAGTGATAGGAAACCCCGTGGAGAATAAACTGTTCGCTAATCACTTTACAACTAGTATTAGCCAATGTTATAGAAGGATTATATACATCTATGCAGCTATATAGCTGAGTTTCTTGCACGTTCTTTTTGGCTGAAATTGCGCTCCGAAAGCGCGGTAGGATCATGAAAAAATTACTATATTAAAATGCTTAATTTTAAGTTCACTAAAATAAATATATTTCTTTCTTTCGTTCCCATTTGATAAATTCGGATGAAGTCGAAACCATTTTCGGAAACGTGAAACATAGTACGTTCATAAAATTCCCGTTATATATTTATAAAGACTTTATTTGATGTCTGTAAAATATTAATTTTTGGTTCTTACAAGAAATTTATGTTGAAGAAAAGTTAGAATTGAGGACAAAAAATTAATAAAGGAGTAAATATACGTTTAATGAGTATTTTTGAATTCATAAATTTAAATCTACAAAAAAAGCGACTTTAATTACATATACCGATGTACGATGAGATATTATGTAGATATTTCATGTTGAACATTTATAAAATCGCGTCTGCAATTAAATTTTGTTCTTAAAATAATGCTTTTCAAATAAAAATTATGAAATAAATCTTATAGATTGAAGAAGTTATGAAATCGTTTAAGAATTGGCGATATGATAGCATAGTTATAAAAAATCAATTTATTATCTAAACCTTTTTTTTAATCTTTTTCTTTTTCTTATTTGGCATTGTCTTTTTAGGAAAACTTTCTTACATCGGATGTCGTTTAAAAATTCTTACAAATAATTATGTTCTATTCGAATTTTAAATTTGAAACGCACTTTTGCTACGGATGTATATTTTAAATTTATTTTGTTAAAAATTATAATTTTAAATTTGTTAAAAAAATTGTTACTTAAAACCGCAGTATAAAACGCCACGTGTTCTACAATCGACATTAATATAAAAACACGTCATAATACGAGAATATGGGAAACAACGTAGTGGCGACATTGGCCGTGATCGTTTTCGCTCGAGAAAGCAAATTGTCGTCCATTCTAATGCCTGCTGTCCACTGATGCGTAGCTTGAGCTATATGCATTATACATTAACATATATTATGCAGAATTATGCAGCGTATTATAAGAAATAAATTATAATTGAATAAAAAAAAAATACATTTTAAGTGAGTTTCTATATATTTACAAATTGTGAAGTAGGATTCTAAGTACTAAATTGTCAATATGACATACTTAGAAGATAACTTATAATAATTGCCAAGCTTTAAGGTACCTTTAATATATTTCATTCAAAGTGGTTGAAAACTCTGTAAATTAAAACATATACTACTAATTAAATTTTGATCTAAATTTGTTCCTGTTAAAAATTGAAGAAATTCTGAATTTATACGTATTTTTTTTTCAGTTATATTTTTAATACATTGCACCGATTTTGATAACTCTTTTTGTACGTAGTAGAGGTTACTGCCTTGATAGAGTTAGGGAATTATCAACTTATATCCTGTATCATTGAAATAACATTCACAACACAACATATAAATTTTCCATAACACATATATGTATACATATATGTGTTATGGAAATTTTATGAAATCAAAACAATTGTCGGTAATGATAAAAATTGTAAATTCATAAAATGATATCGTTAAAATGAATATAAGTTTTAAAAATAATTATAGATTTTTTCATGACTTGGACAACTAATAAAGAAAGGAATATTTATTAGCTATATTTATTTTTAAAAAAGATATATAAAGCAAAATAAATTAAATATTATTTTATAAAAGTTCAGAAATGAAAGAAAACGTTAATGGCGGAAGACGTCGGAATATAATTGGATTCTTTAATATAAATTATATACCATGGGTTTAACTGTACTGTTAATAAATAATGTTACAATAGAGATGCAGCGTTCACCAGTGGAGACTAGGGTTAACAGACGCCATCAGAAACTAGTTTACTCCGCATATTTATTCCGATATTTTCACTTATGTAAATGATATAAATTTTTCTTTGAACTTAAGTCCGGTTAGAAATTATATTAAAAGTAAACGTTTCATTTCCATTCTTTTCCTGTAAGAATGTTTTACTTGATTTATTTTTACAAGACTGCAGGTTCTATTCTCTTTGTTTTGATATGTTTTTTGGCTATTGATATAAATAAAGTTTTTTTTTGTTACAGGTCTAAAATGGCATCTGATGTCGCCGCACATATACCAAGAACGACATTCGTTTGGTTAATTCTCGCATTAGTTAATGTAAGTAATAGAAGTAACGTCCTTAAATTGAATTTGCGCAGACTGAAGGTTTCTTTTTAATAATAATTTAAAAACAGAATATCGATATAAAAATAGAACACAATATAAAAAAAGATTGTTAGTAATTGATTTTATAACATTGAAAACCGAATTAAACCTTTCTTCTAATACAATACTTTTATAACTGGCTAGTTTTAAAAAGTAATAATTCGAAATTAAAATTCTTATAATATCGAAAATCGAGGTAAACCTTTTTCTAGTACACAATTTTATAACTGGCTAGTATTAAAAAGTAATGATTCCAAATTCGAATTCTTAAAACGAATACCACCAAGCTCCGTTTACACCGCTACAAAAAGCTGCCCTAGAACAGCGTTGAGTAAGCAGAATCGAAACTCCGTCCTTGGTGAGGTCGACATTGCAACCTAGCAAGTTTGAGATGTCATTCGATACATGAAGCTGGTTAGAGACTTGAGACCTTCTTGTTTATCCGTGTAACAGCCAGTGTATCCGCTCCATTTGAGCCCGCACTGCGTTTGCGCGTCCGGTGGCATACATAGTGTACATATCGCACGCTGGCAACTGGACCGCAAAAACAGATAGATAGTTATAGTACAGTCAACTTGAAAAGTCAATTATAAACTTAATAATGATGAAATTATTAATAACTAGCGATTTAGTTTGACTTCGTATGGATAGATAGAATTTTCGAAAATAATATACACATTACTAGATAATGTAGTTTTCTACAGGTGAAAGAATTTTTAAAATCAGTTAAGTAATTTTTGAGTTTATCTATTACACATAATGAAATCTTTCCTTTTTATAAAATTTGTATAGAAATATATCTATATTTCTATATTAATTTATCTAAATAATATTTAACAGAATGTCTTTGTTAAACATTATAAATCTGTATTTTTTGTGTCTTTCTTACGAGAAAAGTAGAATTATTATTATTTTATTTTTGTTGTTGTTGCACTAAAAACTTATTTTGGAAATGAAAATCAGAAATACTAGTTTGCAATATCAATATTAATGTAACGACTTTTTTTACGTCAATACCTTGTTTTTTAATTAATGTCATAAAATTAAAAGGAGTATAAATATTATCCTCATCATCATCTTAGCCATTATCTGTCTACTGCTAAACATAGGCCTTCTTCATAGACTGCCATAAGGAACGGTTCTGAGCCACCTGCATTCACTGACTTGCATGCATTTGAGGTCTTCACTCCATCTAGTGGGTTATTATAACATTATATTATATGTTTATAAAAATTATCACTTGTAATTATGATAGTAGTCACTTGTACAAAAATTTTTAGTAAAATTATTTATAATACTTTTGTCTCATAATAACTATAATATTATTAAAAATTAAAAAAAATCCGCGACACCAACTAACCTATAAAACAGCTGACAGTCTTGAAACGTCTGAATAGATTTATAAATTGTAGCTAAAAATCATCTCGATCACATCCGCTTTCAAACGAAAAAACGCATCATAATCGGTCTATTCATTTACGAGTTTCGATGCTACGGATAGATATACAGTCACACATCACTTGATTTAGGATGTATAGAGACAATTGGTAGGGTTGATAAATTGCCATGTTAATAAATTAAGTTGGTTAGTCGGCAGTGTGAAGGGAAAGCACGATCTTGACCTTACCGATTGGCTGTACTGATCGCAAGCCAAATCGTGACATTCGTTGACAGCTATAAACTTTTCTACAATCAAATTTTTAAATCAAAAATTATGGAATTAAGTTTAAAATGTTCGAAGAAATCGTGCCTAATAGTAAGCCGTCCATTAACGTAGTAAACTTTAATGGGTTATTATGGTAGAATGAATGGATTTACGTAAACACTGCTATGTCGCGATTTTAACCACATTTAACTTTTTATCTCTTGTTCTCGCAGAAAAAACAGTAAAAATTTATGATACTTATATCTTGTAATAACATATACAGATACTTAAAATTTAGTTTCCAAAAAAAAAAAAAAACTATTTTAAGATTGAATAAACAGTTATTTTAAACTATATGTCAAGTGGAACCAACAAAAGGGAACCCAATCCTGTTATTTAGGATGTAAATACTTAAAATTTCTTCATAACTGGAGTACCTAAATATCGTATTACTTTAAAAAAAAAACATATTTAAGTCGAAAACCTCGTTTATTATCTTATTTTTAAATTTACACCAAAGATGGATTAATGTGTACTAAAATATATTATATATATACAATTTCTGATCAAACCTCTAAATCTCAATATCTCAATTCGATGATAAATTGTCCAGCAGACATCGCTAATAACTTTGTTAGTAAGACGGATTGCCGTTAAATTTATAACACGTTGAGAAATCATTAATCATTTCATATGATTTAATTCATAGATAGTCATCCTATGGTGTGATTAGTTAATAGTGACTTTCTATCTTCATAAAGAATCAATCCGATGAGTGAAATATCTTGACGGGCTATATTGTTGTACCTAAATACATATAATATATGAGTCCGTGTATTAGCAAAATAATAAATAAATTATCGAGAAATAACTACTTGGGACAGATAAAGGAAACACTGGGTGTCATGTTGTTTAGGGAGGTCAAAAATATAGCCTGAAATAGAGTTGGAAGAGAAATCGGTAAATCTTGGGTTTTACTCGTAAAGCTTAGGATTTGCTTACATTTATATTCACATGTAAATTTTAGGCTTTTCCCAAAGGAAACCTAACGTACCTTTCTGACGACAAGTAAAAACTTGAATTATGGTAAATTTAATATTTTCTATATTTATATCAGAGACAAAAAATAAACATAAAAATTTTCACCTTCAATTTACCTTTTAGTAATAAATAACAATAAGTTGCTATTTTGTATGTCAAATTAAACAGACTTAATAAGTATGTAACGTAAATGTATAGAAATTGTATATAGTAATATCAACTTATGCATAATACAAAATATCTGTCAAAGAAATACTATTCAGTAATTTTCACACCATTATTCTTGTAGCTGTATACACTATTACCATCTGGTACCATCATAGCAATTCCATATAAAACTGTATCCATAAATGCTCAAGACGCAAATGATAATAAGAAGGATACAGAGAATTATACAGGAATGTTCTAGAGTCCAAGAATGCTTTTCAATAGTGATTCCCGTCACAGGGTAGAATACATAACCCAGCATAATAATATTGCCCTATCAGTTGTAACAACCGGAGAATTGCATTCGTAACACGACCCACAGCTCACCTATTACAATACCAATTTGTATAGGGTTGATTATTTGAATATTCTACGTTATTACAAAAGGAATAATCTAGCCTCAGGTCATAACTATACTTTTTAGTTATCTATACATCTTGTACGTGTAACTTAGGTACTTTATGAAAGACTAGTAATCCGTCCCGACATTGTATGGATTTTTTAATAAAGTATAGTCGTTATTACTTGCTAATAATGTAGATTTCTATAGGTGAAGGTCATTTTTAAAATAAGTTATTAAATGTTTTTAAAGTTTAATTTCGATGTATAAGCAAAAAAATAAAATCTTTTCTCTTAAATCTTTTCTTACCCTAAGATTAAGATTTTTTTTATTCATATGCATAATATTTTAGATGATGAACATGTTACCTTAGATAAAGAATAGTATCTACTATTGTTATAAATCAAAATACATAATGACAGTAATAAATCTATGAAAGTATGATCAGATACAAAAGAAGTGTATGTAAATTTCTTGTATGATACAAGTAATTCACACAATATATTTTTTATTCAGTTTCTTACTTCAGTCATGTCATGTCGGCCAGATTTTAGTCTGTCGAATTTTGAGCCAAAAGAAGGTAATATGCATTCATGCATGCATTATTGTCTTATTTCGACATTTTATAATTTAAACAATTGCAGAAATAAACCCTATAATGCTAATAATATATATATTTTTTATTTCTTTCTAAATATTACAGACAAAAATTTAACGTAAACAAAAATTACAAGGAACAAACAAACAGATGAGCCTTATCGTTAAAGCATTAATCAGAAATCGTCTGAATGGAGGAGTGTCCCGTAAATTTTATAGAGTCCCGTAATTTAAGATACATGTTGTCTTCTAACTTTGGATAAGTCGTTCATAGGAGTCTCATTCGCATTCTTATCAATGTGTCGCAATTGTGTTAATAGCACTTTTATGGGCTTAAATTATAGTAATAGCAAACGCGGACAGAATTTTTAGATTCCATTTCCCAGTAAATCATGTCATGGAATTACTTTTTTGTTTGTTTGTAACACTTTACTGCACAATAAAGCTTAAAATACGACTATTCACTATGTTGCGACTTCTTAATGAAATTTATTTTCAAGCGACTTCAAAAATAAGGAGATTTTCGATTCGGTCGTATTTTTTAATGTTTGTTACCTTATAACTCCGTCAGTTCTAAACTAATTTGGAATGTTTTTTATCTAAAAGTATATACATTACAGATTGGTCCTATAGAAATTTTATCAAAATTAGTTCACTAGTTCAATTGTTAGTTTAAAATAATTGGTTTGGTTACAATTGAAGTTACTTTTTTTGGGAACACAATCTTTAATTATTAGGTAAACTTTTGATCGATAAGTCTCAAACAAGATTGAATAAGATTTTTTTTATATCTGATAAAAATTGTGAATCGTCTCACCGTCTATCTCGCAAGAGACTTGAAAATATTTGGAAAAATAAGAAAATACCAAGTAAGCTTCATAACAAGTTTCATTCATGATAATTTAAATTATAGAATAATCATTTCAACAATAAAAAGAAAATACGAATATTTTAAGATTGTGTCCCACAAAATACCGACTTAAATTTAAAAACTAAACAACTATACCTATTTTGATAAAATTTCTACGAAAGAAATCTGTAAATCTTCTCTTTTCAGATAAAAAAGAATTTTATAAATCTATTTATAACTGACGGAGTTATGAGGTAAAAAAACACAAAAAA